CCTTGGGCCCGTCTTGGGGCCTGGGGCTGGGCTCTCCTGACGCACGGCGGGCCTGCTGATGCAGGACCAAGCTACCCTTCTGGTTTGACAGCGTGACTGCCCCCTCGCCCACGTGCGCTTCAGCCTGGGCCTGGGCCTGGGCCAGGCGGGGTATGAGGGTCAGACCCACAATGTCACCCAAGGCCCGGGAATGTCCCAGGACAGCAGGCAATGGCCGTGCCCTGTGTCCCATTTCAGGGAGATCTTCCCTGAGCGAGGGCTGGACCGTGGGCCGGGGCCTGGTCTTCCGTAGACTCACTGGACGGCTCCTCTGCACGGCAGGACCCAGACAGCTCCAGGCCAGGCGTGAGGGTTGCTGGGCAGGGCTGAGGGCAGGACCTGGTGGGGCTGCCTGTGGGCATGGTAGGGCAGCAGGCCCTCCTGGTCAAGCTGGTTGAGTGGCCCTGAAGCCCCAGCACCCTCAGTCCCAAGACATGGCACACATGGGACCCAGCATGGCCATAGGTGAGGCCGGCTAAAGTTCCTGCCCTGGCACCAGGTCGGGAGTGGTAACAGGCAGAGGGGGGCTCACACAGGGAGGTGGGGCCAGCCCTGAGCCCTGACTTACTCTGGGCCCTCACCCTGCACCTTCGTGCCTCTGACCCTCACCCGAGGACCTTCCAGGGAGGGCGAGGGCCAGAGTGTCAGCAGGTGAGACTCCAGGGCAGGTGGGGGCCCCATGCCCACCAAGGGCAGAGCAGGCTGGAAGGCTTCCTGCAGGAGGTGGCACGTGAGCTGGTGCTGGGTGTTGGTGCAGGAGGGCCGGGTGGCGTAGAGGTGTGGGTGCCACCCCACAGGCCGGCTCCCCGGCTCCCTGTGAGGACTGAGTCACTCCGTATCTGAGGCTCCACGCAGCTTCTGCCAGTGGGTGGGGCAGGGCAGGGCGGGGTGGCCCGCCCCACAGGGTGCAGCCACCCCTTATGATCCCAGGCCTCTGCCAGGCCGGCTTCGAGGCACAGGCCACGCCACCGCTGTCAGAACCACTCCCTGGGCATGGAGCTGAGGCTGGCTTCAAGGGGAACCCCCCACCAGCCCTGATCTCCCATCCCTGGGTGTGTGGTGTGCGAGGACCCACGCCCACCTGATGGCAGGCTGATGGCAGGCAGCTGGACCGGTTCCGGCACTCACCCGGTGTTGAGAAACCCAGGCTCTGCCCAGGGGGTGGCTGCTAGGGCCCCTGGGGGAGGAGAGCCAGGCCGGGTGCAGCAGCATGTGCCCCCCCGACCCCGCCGGAGCCGGCCGGCCCCGGGGAGCCGGCTGCCGCTGCTAACCGGCTTCCCTCAGCCTTTCTGCGCCCTCTGGGACGGGAGGAACAGCTGGTTGACACGGAGCTGCGGTCGGGCTTGGCACTCAGGAGGCCGCTGGCCACACTCAGCATGGTGCCAGGGGAGCCCAGGGCCCTCCTTGGAGCGCAGGGAGCCGTGGCCCTGCTGTGGGCCCGGGGCGTGGCTGCGCTGAGCTCTGGGGCTGTGCCCCCTCCCGTGCACAGCAGGGCGCCACAGACTCTCCCAGACTGCTGGGCTCTGCTTGGTTAGTGCCGCCCTCCCTGCCCCTCTCTGCCCTGGGCGTGGGCCAGCCAGCTGGCCTCCAGCTGGCCTCGCCTCGGCAGGCCCTGGGCAGGGAGTTCCCGGGGCTCTGGGAGCGACTCCCAAGGGCCTTCTCTCTGTGTGGTGGCCACAGCCTCTCCCCCACACCCGCTGCTGCCTTATCTGCTTGCCTAGGTGGGACGCAGGTCCCTAATTAGAAGCCACCAGGTGGTGGCATGGTGGGGCTGGTCAGTGCGAGGTCGCTGAGGGCGGGGTGGGGACATTTCCCTGCCATCAGGTGTGCATTGACTCGGGCAGGGACAGCGGGGGCCTCCAGCTCGCGTCTCTGTGGGCAGCAGGGCCCTGGAGCCCCCATTCGCACCGGTGCTGTGCCTGACCTCTGCGCAGCCTCAGCGAGGCCCTTTCCCCCTCTGGGCTTCGCTTCCCCTGGGCTGGACCAGAGGGGCCCAGTGCTGCCTCCTCCAGTGAAGGGCTGTCACCGTTGTCGCCACCGCTGGCTCAAGGCCGCCATGTGCAGAGGTCCTGAGGAGATAGGGCCCAGTCCTTGGCCCTGGGTGCCTCCGGGTTGAGGCAGGCTTGCTGTGTCAGTCCTGCCTCTGCCACAGGAAACATGCGACTCGGGGGCAGAGCAGGGCCCCAGACCTGTGCGCATCTATCTGTACAGCTTCTTGTGTGGCCAGATCAAGAGGCGCTGACTGAATATCTGCCCCTCTCCACTTCCCTGGGGCCTGGAATCCCACTACTCTCCCTGGGCTGGGAGGAAGAAGTGGGCTCTAGACACTAGGATTTGGGCCTGAACGGACGGGCGCTTTCTTCCCCAAAGGTGAGGGCCCGGAAGACCCCTCCATCCACCCGTCATTTTCCTAGCCCCCGCCATCATCTGTCTGCCCCCACCCACTCATCTACCTACCATCCTTCCATCTACCCACTGCCCTCCAGCTACCTACTAGGTCATCAGGAGAGTCATGACGTATTTTTCTATGAAAAAAATGTGTCACGACTTTCCCGACAACCCAGTGTCTACCATTATCCACCACCATTTGTCCATCATCCATCCACCCCGCTATCCATCATCCACCATCCATCCATCCATCTCCCCATGGTCCTTCCATCCCTCTACCATCCATTCATCATCCATATATCCATCCGCCATCCATCCATCCACCCCGCTATCCATCATCCACCTGTCCATCTCCCATCCATCCCATCATCCATCCACCTCGCTATCCATCATCCACCATCCATCCATCCATCTCCCCATGGTCCTTCCATCCCTCTACCATCCATTCATCATCCATATATCCATCCGCCATCCATCCATCCACCATCTATCTGCCATCCATTCATTCATCCATCCACCATCCACCTGTCCATCTCCCATCTATCCTACTCCATCTATCCATCCCACCATTCATCCATCTGCCCTCCATCTTCCACCTCCATTTGCCACCCATCTACCCATTCATCACCCATCCATCCATCCATCTATCCACCCACCCCTGTCCATCCATTATTCACTATCCATCCATCTGCCATCCATCCATCTACCCATCATCCATCCATCCGTCCACTCACCATCGTCCATCTACCCTCCATTCGTCCACCCATTTTCACAGTCATCCTTCCATCCATCCATCCACCCACCATCCATTCACTATTCATTCATCCACCATCAATCCATCTATCCATCCATTCACTGTCTACCCGTCATCCCTCCAGTCCCCCATCCACCATCCTTCCATTCACCATCCATCCAGTCAATGGGCAGCAAGTACAGTAGGTGCCCAGCAAGGGGACCAGGGGCTTGCTTGGGCAAAGCCTGTTGCCCACTTCTCCATCATGGCAGGCTGCTTTGCAGTTCCCCATCTGGGCTCATTCGTTGTTCCTCCTATCCTTGGCACCTGCTGTTTCCTCTGCCTGGAATGTCTCCCTTCCCCTATACACTCCTGTGCAAGACTCAGGCCGGCTTCTGTCTCTGTGGGATCCTCCTTCCTCCATTGCCCAGCCAGCCAAGATCCTCCACAAGGTCCATTGACCATGTCACCTGTGTCACCCATTGTGTGGCCATTGGTCTCTCTCTCTGCCCTGGCTCTGTGCCCCCTGAAGAGCTTGCCCCCTCAAGGCTGGAGGGAGCAGGGCTGGGAGGATTTGCCTCTAGGAGGGGAGGCAGAGCAGGGAGAATGGCAGCGCCGAGGCTCTAGGTCTGAAAACATGGTGGGGCTGGGGGGAAGTTGCCGCAGGTCCCAGTCAGCCTGTCTGTCCTCACAGTCAACCAGGAGCTGGTGCGGAAGGTCAGTGGGAAGGGCCGACTGCTGGTGCATGGCAGCATGGAGCGCGATGTGGGCCTTCTTCGCCTCTACCCTGGGATCCCCGCCTCCCTGGTAGGGACCGCCCTGGGCCCTGCGCCTGCTGTTTCTGAGCCTGCCCTCCACAGCTCTCATGCCCTGGGCAGTGCAGATCCTGCTTGGCATTGCAGCATCTTCAGTGTCACCCGCCTGCTGCCCGTCCCACACATGGGCCCCCTCAGGCCAGCATGCAGAGGCTGACCTCTGGCTCGCGTGGCAGCTGAGCTGCCCCTGCGCCGGTCCCCGCCACTCGAG